CCGTATATTCTATTATTTTTTGACGGTTTTTTTTTGCTCAGCTGTGTGTGATTGTGGTCGCGTGTATTTGTCTGGGGCAGACTGTGTGTGGGAATCTCTGTTCCTCCGCTAAAGTGTGTTAAATGTGTGTGTGAGTGAGTGTGGGAATGCACGCGCACGCGCGCGCACACACACACGTGTGTGTGTGTGTGTGTGTGTGTGTGTGTGTGTGTGTGTGTGTGTGTGTGTGTGTGTGTGCGCGCGCGTACGCGTCGCATATGCTCCACATAAACTTAATAACCTGAAATAAAGAAAAACACTCCGGTTCACACTGGCTGAAGATTGTTCGCTTTAAAAGGCCTGCATAGCTAAACCAAAGCATAATGTGGTAGGCCTAAAACACACACCACCATACAAGTAACGAAAGAGAGCGACAATTAAGACTATTGATGTCACCACTGTGCATAGAGTTGTTAGCGTTTCCCCCCCGTGTCAACCCAACTTACCTCTATTCCAGCAGCTACACACGTCAAACGAGTTAACTCCGCTGCGCCGCGATGGTAGAAATAATACAGCTTGGCCGACATCTTAATCGTCTGCTAGATTTTTACCGGGAAAATGCAGTTAGAATCTAGTTTTGGGATTCAAAAGTTCCCGGTCCAGGTCTGTTTTACCGGCAAATATAAGAACTTGCCACTTTCGGCTGCGTCAGCACACCTACTTTCGCTCTGAACAGAAGGCCTACTCTTAAAAAGCGAATGAACTATTAACTCCCTAGGTTTTAGCCTAACTGAGCATGAGTTTCACAGCTTGATGAAGGCTGTATCCACTGCAGGCGGGCGCGTTATACAGAACAAAACACTACGCTTAGCCTACACACACACACACACACACACTAGTTTAGCGGCTTGACCCACATTGCTTGACGCACAAGCATGACTGTGGCCATAGACTTGTTGTGTAATCCAAGACTGCATACTCTGACGTACTTCCGGTAAACCATGGAGTGCATCATTTGACTATTTGGACCCAAATGAAGGGAGAGGAGAGAATGGTTGCGTACGCTTACGACTGTATCAAACTTGGTGCTTCTCTATCATTTGGACACCGATGGTGCGCATTAGAGCAGTGAAATTTCTAAAAATATATTGTAGAAATAGTAAACAAACAAATACTAAAGCCCCATTTAGACGTACAGTTCGCTGATCGACAAACCGTAGGATATCGAGAGGATGGCCGGTATCCTGTCAATTTCACGTGGAAACTCTCGATATCCAATGGTTATCCATCTAACCACCAGATATCTGGCGACGCCAGATATTTGCCGGCCGGCGAACCGAAGGAGTGACGACAGGGGAGCGGCTTCTTTGATGGCGTAGTTGAAAATACATTCCAAAAATTTCCAAAATATTCATCAAATCAAAAAAATAATAAGATTTTCGTGATCAGCGACCCAAAATTAGTCAAATTCACGCGAAGAATACAATTTAATACCGGATTACCAAGTTAAATTATGTTTGTGTGTTTGCTTTTGAATTACCATTCGCCCGCCCCTTCACTTTTGAAAGTGAAGGCAAAAATGTACCGCGTGGTGTGTAGTCGTCGAGATGTGTTGGAATCATAGAGTTATCTCCTTCTATACCTATAGTGTACATCTATGGTTGGAATCAGCTGAGGGCTACACACCATTGTTTTAGCTAGCTAGTCGGTGCTGTTTATTTGAACTTTTTTTGGTCTACAAGCTACAAGTTTAATTGCACAGGTTTTCTAGTTCTAGTGCAATACAATGTCGGTGTGGAATAGTAAAGAAACTGTACTACATGGAAAGTAAAATCGAAAGAATACAGTAACAGGTTAACGAGAGAGATGGCATACTAAAAAAATGGTAGATTTTTGCCTCAAATTCGACCCGTCAGCGAACAAGCAGTTTGTTGTGAACAAAATAAATAACCTTAGAAGTGCATTCAGAAAAGAACTGAAAAAGGTGGAAGCCTCAAAATTATCTGGCTCAGGGGCAGATGAGACCTATGAATCCAGGTTGTGGTACTTCCCCTATCTGATGTTCATTCAAGACCAAGAGTTCCCAAGGACAGGGATTTCCAGCTTGGACACCGAGAATTCTCGCCCACCAAGCTCATCTCTGGGTTCATCGCATTGTCTAACCGTGGAGAGTGAGGTATGTAATCTACTTCTTATTAACTTTCTTTCAGTTTCCAAAAGATAATAAGGTTATTGTTTCAGTTGAAACACTACATGGCACTACTTGGATATGGTGGTCACGACTTTTGTGTAGTGTAGACAACTGAAATATCGATACTGATTCAAATAGTCGGTATCAATGTTTTATGTTTTATCAGTGGGAGTGTATACAGACCCGGTAACCGGGAACAAAGTCACAAAGTATACAGACCCGGTAGGGGAACTCTTTTGTGATTTCGGAGAGTTTCAGCGCCCTCTTGGCTCAGGGTAGACCTAGGTTCTTCTAAATCTATGGTCTAGATCTAGATCTAGGCAGACATAAATCTTTGATCTAGTTTCGCGGCTAGCCTAAATCTAGATCTAAATGAAGATTGCGGATGTCTTTTCGATGAACGATCGTTTTTCCTCCGTTTTGGAGTTGGAGGAATCACGATTTGAAGAAAAGAACAATGTCATAATTTCAATCGAGCAGCCACCCTCTCTATTTCTCTGCCCCCCCCCCCTCTCTCTCTCTCTCCCTCTCTCTCTCTCCCTGTGTGTGTGTATCTCTCGCCTTCTCTTTTTCTTTGTTTGTCTCTGTCTTTCTTTGTCCCCACCTATTTCCCACTCTATCTTTCTCTCGTTCCCTCCTGCCAACTGGGGCATGTCACATTTTGCTAGCACCCCTGCGAGCACCCCCCCCCCCCTCTCTCTCTCTCTCTCTCTCTCTCTCTCTCTCTCTCTCTCTCTCTCTCTCTCACACACACACACACACACACACACACACACACACACACACACACACACACTCACGCACACACTCTCTAGATTTCTACCGGGTCTGGGCGCTGAAACTTCCCGAAATCACAAAAGAGTTCCCCTACCGGGTCTTTATACTTCGTGACTTTGTTCCCGGTTACAGGGTCTGTATACACTTCCTTTATCAGTAGCCTAGATTCTAAATCTAGCCTACAAAATGAGCAGTAAAATTTCACTTGTTTTTCACAAAGCAAGGGGGGTTCCCCCCTGACTTAAAAAACAAACAAACATGGGGTGTTTCAGGGGGGCATGCCCTTCTGAATTTGACCATGACTTGATGTTTTTTTGCAATTAGGTTTGAAAGGCTAGATCTATCTCTCTGGCACGCGAATCAAAAAGTAATCGTTTAGACTTAGAACCAGAAGTAATCGTTCTAGATTTTCTCTAGGTTATATCAATGATAGTACATAACAAGATGGGCCACTTCTCTCTTTGAGCCAATTAAAAAAGTGTCCTCAAAATTTGGTGGCGCCCTCTTCACAAAAGCGCACTCTTTGCGAACAGAGTTACCCTACTTGAGTTTTAAAAAATCAAAGTGAAACTAGCAAGTTTTGGGATAAATTTCGGAAGAACGCTTTTTTAAAATGGTTACGCTGACAAAAAACCTCTTCCGGAGGAAAGGGGGATGGTTTTCTTCGTTTAATTTGACTTTAGAATGAAAGGCGAGAGGTCATTAAAATTGTTTTAAAACTAAAACTCCGCACTGAATGTACCCGAACTGCTGATGAACAGCAGTCGATCTGCGCACGCAAGGAGGTGCTATTCCTATTCTTCTTCTGGAAAAACGAAAGAGAGCTTCAAAACAGACTGCAGCGCCATCTGAAGCAAAGAGCATACTTCCTGCGGACACTTTTTTGGCTGAGTGGCCCATCTTGTTATTCACTATCTTTGGTTATATTTCCCTGTCACAAAAGTCGGGACTACTATATCCAAGTAGTGCCCACTACATTCTGCAATGTGCATATAAATTTAAACGAAACCGTGTACCTCTGCACCGCTTAACAGCACGTCTAAAAAAGCATGCACAAGATACAGTCTATACTTTAAAAAAATATAGAACTGTCTTTTATTTTAAATTCATTTGGATAAAATATGATTTCACATTACCAGAATAAGTTGAACACTGTATTAATGAATTCAAAGTAATTTTACTAACGACGATGTATAATGCCAGCAGACACTGAAGTTCTTCTAAACACACATGGACATTAGATAGAAATGCTATTGCCATTTTGAACCCTCACAATAAACATTTTTCCTGTCTCTGTAATGGTAGTACCTATCCTTTTGTTTTTTTTTCAAAATCAAGCCAAAATCTGAACAAAAAATTGCTCTTGGTGATAAAATATGAACACATTTCCCCGACACCTTTTTAAAATAATATGTACAAAATTATAAACAGAAAATCTGACATTTTCATCTCTAACACAGAGCACATAATACACACCTTATGATGCACATTTTATTTCTAGATTTTTCTTTCACAGTACATGTAATAGTTTCTTTAAAGTAGCTTTCGTTGTAAATATCTTCCTGGCACATCTTTGTTACACATATTATATATATATATATATATATATATATATATATATATATATATATATATATATATATATATATATATATATATATACATATATATATGTGTGAGTGTGTGTGTGTGTGTGTGTGTGTGTGTGTGTGTGTGTGTGTGTGTGTGTGTGTGTGTGTGTACTAAATACCTTTGTTACTAGCTATGATGTACAACCTGCTAAAAACACTTCAGAGCAAAACCCTTACTGCTAATATATTGTCTGTGGAATAATGAGACTGAGCGATGGTGCAGAAATACAAGATGCGAATTTGAGGTCTTGATAAGCTGCTCCTGTAGCAAGAAAACGAAGTGTTGCTGTCAGTTTTTAATGTGGAGAGATTGCTTCTCTCATAACGGTTGACTGCTGCTCAATCGTGGGTCTGATCAACTGCAGAAGATAGAGGTATGTCGACTCATCCATTCGCAAGAAGTTATTGAAATCCGTCGGATAGGCTCGTAATTCCTCGAGAATATTTGTGTGTGTGTATGTATTTCGTTTTAACAACCATTCTTTTGCCCAGATGGTCCTCTTCCTAGCTTTCTTGTTTGATTTGAGGACGATAAAAGCTGCCAAATCATCCAGGTAGCTTGCTACAGCCATTGTTGACATTTGTGACAGTGCCCTAGATGTAGATCTAGCTACACCGGTCCAAGGACGGATCTGTCAGTTTACCGACGACCCAGATCGAGCGTCTGTCGGTAAAACTGTCAGTTTGTCGATCAGCGAACTGTATGTCTAAATGGGGCTAAAAACAAACAAATCCAACAACAACAGCTGGCGGCCAAGACTGTGTCCGATCTAGGGTAATGTACATTTCAAGTCTATGTTTGCGAATTTCTTTATATTGGCTACAGCATTTCAGCTGGCAGTGCTTTAGAGAGCGTATGGGGATTAAACTGACGTTTTTTTCTTTCATTCATAATTGACGGAAGCAGACGATAGAACGTTGTTAGAGGACAGGAAAGGGGGTGAAAGGAGAGCATTAAAAAAAAAAATTTTTCCTTCGCTATCCGGATTCGAACCTGGGACCTATTGAATGAGAGGCGAAATCCTTAATCTCTTGACCACGAGAACCCCTAATTGTTTTGTATGTGGAAACATTTTACTTCAAGTTCTGTGTATGTGAACTGTTTTGTTTGTGGACAAGTTTTACTTCAAGTTCTGTGTATGTGAACTGTTTTGTTTGTGGACAAGTTTCATTGTTTTTATTTTTTGTTTGTGTATATTAAAAAGATGATCAATTTATCACCTTTGTTGAACATATTCAAAGGTAGAAAAGATGAGGGGAAACAATTCTAATCGTCCTCCTCCATCATCATTACCATCATCACCAGCATCACCACCATCATCACCATCATCATCATCACCATCATCACCTTCATCACCACCACCAAGTGCCAGATCTGTGACAGACATCGGCGATCATGGTTCCCCATTCATTCCTTTGCTCGGAGACCTCAACAAAAAGCTAGAATATCCTGATCTTTCCCCGTCACTCATCTGTTTAGGTTATCCAAATATGTTGCTCTGGGTCTACCCCTGCTTCGTATGTCTCCAATTTTGCCAGTAAGAGCTAGATGTTCAAGACCTTTATGTCTGTCCAGGTGTCCCAGAAACTGCATTTGTCTTTTCCTGATTGTTTTTATCAGCGAACGTCCCACGTGGGCGTCGTCAAGTACTGACTAATTTGATTTCTTTTCCTTCCAAGAAACTCTCAGTAGTCTCTTAAGAAACCACATTTCTATTGCTTCTGTTTATTTCCATTGTCTTTAGTGGCTGTCCAGCATTCACAGCCGTATAGAAGGGGTGACCACATATTGCATTTCAGAACTTTTATTTTGGCGGTCATTGAGATTAAGATGTTTTTTACTTGGATGAATTGTACATAACAGCTTGCAGTAAGAAAATTAATTCCATCTTTTTAGACAACAAACATCCCTTGTTCTCTCAAGTAAAAACATCAGTCAGAAGTAAAAGACCCATGCTTCTGATTTGTAACAAAGAAAGATACAGAAGGCCATTTTTACCATCATCTTTCAAAATGCTTCCATCTTAACCATCTTGTTTAGTGTACTTATGACCTTAGAGCATGCATCAAAATAACATTGAGTGTGTATCTAGCTTACGATTACTATTGTTTATATTGCTGCTCATTTATATTATGTATGTGATTGTAAGCCTACTTGTGTGTGCATGTGCGTGCACGTGTGTACGTGTGTGTGTTTGTGTGTGTGTATGTGTGTGTGTGTGTGTGTGTGTGTGTGTGTGTGTGTGTGTGTGTGTGCGCGCGTGTGCGTGTGCGTGTGTGTGTGTACTCGTGGTGGAACACCAAACCAATGTGCCAGGATCTGGACAATAAAGATGTATCTTATCTTATCTTATCTTATCTTTTTATTTTTCAGTATTGGGCTCATTTTATAGAAACTAGCCTTAGCCATTGCAATTATCCGTTTCATTTCTGTGGAACATTTGGCATCAGATTTTTAGGATATATCCTAGATATTTATAAATCGTTGGTCTTGTTTGGTCTTTTCACCTTTGATTGAATTACAAAAAAGATCTGTTGCTTTCTAAAACATCACCAAGAATTGCTTTCTTCCCACTCACAAATAACCCTGTGGGTGGTTGGTGGGTGCTGTGGGGTGGTTTGCTCCCTCTTTCCTATCAAACATCTATCATCCTGGTCTCTCCTCCCTCTTGTTTTGCGTTTGTTACTCTCTTGTAACACCTCTAATCTTCGGCACTTATATGACCTTATTGTGTTGCAAGTGCCGTAAAACTCTTTCTAAAACTTAACTAAAAAACCAATAACCCATTCCGTTCCCTCTCCGCTCGTTACGACAGTACCTACAACTTCTAGAAACGACTGGAGCTCAAATACCTTACTGTAACCTCCTTGCTGGAGCTCCTTTTCCGAGTCTGCTTTTGGGACTCTGTCAGCACGTGTCTGACGTCATCAATATTTTCACCATTCTCTTTTGGGACCTGGATTTTCTTCTATATATTTATAAAGATTGATTCACTAGACTGTATGTATTGTTTTTGTTTTGGTTAGTGTTTTACGGCGCTTGCAACTGCATGAGGTCAAATGAGCGCGCTGGACACATAATATGAACATTGGTGAGGCAGCGTGGTGGAATCAGGCTGTCGTCAATTTTTGGGCATGTAGAGTTATTGGTATCATCTTAAACTTAAAGCCTGTTCACTTGTCTTTATTTGAATGAAACAAATATCCATTTGTCTTTTATACAAGTCGAGATATTTGCGAAAGAAGGAGGCAGGGGTCACCTGTTTTCAGAGGTAGAATTAGTGAGAAAAGGGCCGCCAAAGATTAGTTATTTCCTTAGCTTAAGAGTCCGTGGTAACTGAAAATTTTAATTTTTGTGCCTTTAATCAACGCTTTTCAGAAAAATCCACACAGAAATGAGTTCTTTAATGGGTATGAAAGGTGTTGAGCCAAAAAACAAAAATTTGATAAAAATTCACAAGCCTGCGGGAAAATGCAAGTTTCTTCACTTTGATTATTTTGACGAGAGCCTGATTCCACCACGCTGCCTCACATTTTCAGTTTAGTAGGAATTAATTGTGAATTTTGTCTGGGTAGCGGTCCAAGCCTACTCTTATCGGTTTTGAACCACCAAGGGATCTGTAACGTGCGCAACTCGGACACCGAGAAGGCCAGGTGCTTGATCTTATCTGCCCTAAGATCAGGGGTGTGGTTGAACGACAGCAGTAAAATTACTAAGAATTTAAGGAGCCAAGAAGTAGCAGTAGAAATGCTGCAGAAAGAGTCCGGAGCCCAGAGAAAGGGGAAAGGCGAGCGGTGGGGGAGGGGGGGGGGCAGACAGTGGAGTTGAAAGCACAGACAGAAGATGGTTATAGAGTAGGAAAGGAGGTGAAAGGAAAATTTTTAGAAAAGAAAATATTCTGTAGCTGTCAGGTTTCCAACCCGGGACCTATTGAATATGACCTTATGCAGTTGCGAGCGCCGTAAAACACTTACCCAATTTGTTTAAAAAATAAGAAGTGTTCTCTCCCTTCCCTCCTTTCCCTCCCTCCCCTCCCCTCTTTTCCTCATCCTTCCTCTCCCCTCCCTATCCCTCCCCCCTCCTTTCCTCCTCCTCCCCCCTTCCCTGCTCACCTTGCCTTTCTCTCCTTTCCTCACCTCCCCTCCCCTTTCTCTCCTCCCATCTCCTTCCCCTTTAGTCTCCCTGTGTGTTTGCTCGTGTGTGTTAGCCCGTGTGTGTGTGTGTGTGTGTGTGTGTGTGTGTGTGTGTGTGT